ATCGTAGTTACGAGTTATAACTGTTCAGTACATCCAGTAAACAATCCAAACCTAGTGTTTAGTCACTAACACGTGACAGTAGGTTACTTACCAGTCAGCAAATTCATATTAATGTTCATGGCGCGATTTACGTCTTCAATTGCGTTCATCTGAAACAATATTTGGAAAATTTTGATTTATCCTTTATTACCACGCAACAAATTGAGATTCTTCTGTCATTTCGCCTGTAAGTATGTGGAATCGTNAATTACATTGACGAACAATTTAAGAGTAGATTAAATTCGGAGAATATTTCTAGAATGTCGGCACTAATCAATTTGGTCATGAAGGCATCACAACAGCAAGCAGGGGACAGCTGTTTCTGTTTGGAACTTGTATCGAGCACCAGTTCTTGTATTGGGGGCGAGGGAGGTTACTGCTGTCATGGAAAATGTCACTGAAGATATAAGAGTCGGTTTGTAGCTGTTCTCAAGGGTATATTTGGCAAAGTAGGTGTGTCGCATCTTTAAGAGACTATAGTAATTCTCTGCAACCATTTCCTTAGCCTGTGTTTCCCTCTCCTTTGTGGTCGTGGGACCCACGGAAGGTGACAGTATTTTTCCTTGTTGCTCTATCCACCACACCTGAATGAGCTGTAAAGGTGTACATGGGATGTCAGCTTGACTTAATTTCATCTGATTCGTGATTTGCGCTGGTGTACTGTCATGTGGCGCCGATCACAGTGGCCGCGCGGTCTCGGCATAAACTCTCTTCGCTTCAACAGTGGATCGTGGGTTCGAATCCCACTCGAGGCATGGATGTCTATCCTTGTGAAGGGCCTATCAGCGGTCCAAGAAGTCCTACCGACTTTGTAAAAGATCAAGAAACAGAAAACGAACCGAGGTTCAACAAAGGCCTGTAGAGGTGGAGAGTTAGGCAAACGGTAGCTGGAGTATGCCCTTCTGAGCATTTATAATAGCTTCAATTAGAATTTTAGTCTGGTCCTCATTCACCTAAAGCTCTATCCAGTTGAGCTGTGTTGCTTGGTAAGTAGTAATTATCTGTCAAGAAACTTACCAGTCCATTCACCATGTACCATGTCAGTTCCAGTAATAGTGGCACAATGTATCTGCAATTCTGCTTCGCCTGCAACACATCAGAAGAAGATTTGTATAAGATTTAATCCCAGCTGCAACTCGCCTACTGACTGAATTTCTGAAACCTTCTGAATATATGCCGATTTATTATTTTCCAAATCCTGTTCAGGAAATTTCAACCAATCTCTATCTCTCTCTATCTTGGAAACCATTTTAGTACATCAATTAGATAAGTATATGATTCCATATTAAGAGCTACTTATACAAGAAATGCAGGCTATGCATAAATAAATGCTTTTCTGAGACTTACCGCAGTAGTTTGGGCCATACGAGTGGCTGCCTGCAGGAGACACTGCCATATCCTCATTGTTTCGGGGGGGGNGGGGGAAGGCACGATTTCAGTATGTCACACAGGTGGACATTCAGAAATCGAATGCCTGACTTGTTACCGTGATGTCAATTTGTTCCTGTCCTGAACACAGCACAGTGAGAGTGTCCACTCGTAGAACAACATACAGCCATTCATTATTATCTATCTTGGTCCCCAGTGTGTGATTTTGTTCTGCCATTCTCTCAGAACCGATAGGTCTTCTTCTAATGGACTGAAGCAATTCGCCTTCACATTCTTCGTCTAAATGCTTTACTTGCACAGGGTAATTCTGTTTGCACAGTCGATGGCTGTTGTTTATCAGTTTACATTCCATGAAGTCGTCTCCCATTAACCTAGCATACTACTGATTATATACGTGGTAGAGTCATTAAGTTCGTGGAATGTGGTTTTATCGCATCATATTACAAGGTGACGGAGCGCTGACTCACCCGCCACGTCACTGCTGGGGGGAGTGGTTTTCCGTTGCGCAACATGTCACGATATAATCATTTAACGTAGAAAAAATACAGTTACAGAAATGAATGCATCAATGCAAAGAGTGACGTGCGGTACTATTTTTTGTAAGGGAAGCAGTGGTATCTAATAAACCAACTGATAGCAATCAACTCACCAAAATTTACGTCACTTATTGAATCAATAAGGTCGTTTTTTATTCTGTTCGATAAACCTGTAAGTACTGTACTGTTCTCAAGGTAAAAAATTGAGTTTATGATCATATTTCCTCAACAAGTGAACTAATTCCACATAATTACCTCGGCCGATAGAATCCACGCTTTCGTCATGACCACAGAGGACAAGTGGCCTCTTTCCTAAATGGTAGACGATGTCAGTCAAGCGTTTCACTATTTCTCTTATTTTCTTTCACACTTTCATTATGCTGTAGTATCGTCAGGCCCTTTTTGACTGTCAAGTTGACAGCCAGTTGGAGATTTCCCGGACATAAGTTGCATTGTTGAGATCACCAAGCCCAGTCTTGTTACATACATTTTTTTATGAGAAACAGTAGGCATAGCCAACAAAACAGTTTTCCTATATTACGGCAACCGTATAGCCACTCTGTTTTAGAATACTGTTTCAAATTAAATTTCCTCACACATAATTTGGTTTGTGCTCCCATGTCAGTCGGCCTCTTTCTATAATTATTTTATTTTCACAGAAGTCCCTGCTATTAAACTCCTGTTTTAAAAGGCTTTCGATTGCACAGTCGCAGTCGCGTTTTCTGCCAGCATTCATTTTAGCTGTGACCTGTGCGTATAGTCTAATGACTCCCCTGCCTTTGTTCCACAATATGNTTGTACCAAAAAATGACACTTGCTTCCCTTAAACGCAGATAGCTTCTTTCTGATTCGTCAGTATACGGTGACAAATACAATCTTATGCCATCTAAATATACACTTACATAAATAAACTCCGTGATGTTAGTCCGCAAGCGAACTATACCGACCGAGCGACCGCCGCTTTTCGGCGAAGTTTAGTGCCAACTTTTGCGGATAGAGGGTGTCGTGTGTTCAGCGCAACGAATCCCCACCGCCATTAATTTCTGTTTTCTAGACCGGAACTGCTATTTCCTTGAAATAGCTCCTCAATTATCATAACGAGGCTGAGTGGAGCCCGTTCCAGACCCACTAATTCTCAGAAAAATTCATCTGGTAACGCTGGGAATCGAACCCTGACCACTAGACCATAGAGGCGGTCTCTGAATATACTCTAACAATATTGTCACGTGTTGGGTATGTCACGCAACAAATAACTTCACGTGGGTCTCGGATTTAGCGAATCTTTATTCGGCACTCGTGTTTACACAATTTACGAGTATAATTACTATCCACCGTTTCGCTGTTATAATTAATTCTTGTGCCACTGTCGGCTGCTATATTTCAACTTTCTTCAGCGGTGGCTATTCCAAGACTTAGTTCTGTATCTCTCGGCATCTGCCCCGAGACTGTCTGGCGAATGCATTCAACCCCTTTTTATACCCTCGGCCGCTGCTATGCAAATGAACCCTCTGTTATAACCGCGGAAACGCTGGTTTGTTGATTTTGCGCTTCCTGCGCAATGACCCGCTGTTACTGCGTTGTCTCTGTGGGAACGCTCCGTGTATTCGTTGTAACCGTGGAGATTCGACGTTCTCGACGCAACGGCTCACTGTTGTTGCGTTACTATGAAAGTGTCTTTTCCAAACACGTTACATTATTTTAATAATACTTAATGTTACTTAAAACGCCCNAGCAGAAGTGTCTGTAATTATGTAAACACAAATGGACAAACATATTGTGACATAACGCCTGTATGCCGGAATAGTTCATTGCTAGGCAACCGCTCGATGTACAGGTTCCCATGGAAATGATCAAGCACGAAGCACAAAGAGAACCCATTTCAAAGCAACGGGAAGGTAAATACAAAATAGCGGTATTTTTGGAGGTGTCTTCTGTTCGAGCCCTGCAGAGTGATTCTGGAGGAGAGTTCAGTTCACAGTTCAGTGTGGAGCGTTAACCAGAAGGCAAGAATGTTAGGAGTGGTTACCAGGAAACGTCTTATGAATACATTGCAGAGGAGTGGCCATTGTTGAGAACTGTTAATTTGGAGTGAGATGCTATGATATGAACCGAAATGTCGCGAGTTCGATTCCCGATTAGGTCAGTGGATTTTTAAATTGACCTAATCCTTTCAGTCGCACTATGGCCGTGGGGTCACCAGGATATAACTTGGGAGGTAAAGGAAGGCCGGCGCGTAAGGCTGACNTTTAGGTTGGGGGGGGGGGGGGAAGGAAGGCCGGCGCGTAAGGGTGACGACTTCACCGCTATGTGTGAGCAGATTGTGTAGAATATGTGGGAGCGTCCACGGCCTATTACGGGGATAGCTTTACTTTTTTTTTTTTTTTACATGTAAGTTCGTCAATAAATCTCTTCACCAAACCAAAGCCCGTCTGTAGTCACTAAAACGTGACAATCTAATTGTTTTTATAATATGTGAATTATGATTTTCATATGTCTATTCTGATGGAGATATGTAACCCATCATGACATATTTGTGTACTAATTCCCAGGTCAAGGGTATAGTGAAAGGTGCCTCTAACATAGATTTAAGGCAATTAGGGTAGAGAGATGTAGAAATGTGTTAAAATAGAGATACAGCGAACCATAGGTTAAACTAGAGGTAAAAGGCGAAGTTAAGCCAAAACTAAATGAACTGAACCATACATTTGATGAGAAGGAAGTCGACGATGAACTAGAAATGCACAAACAAACGATAAAGGGTAATGTATATGAATTGAACGATTTAGATGTAGAAATGTGAGAGAGGAAAGATGCAAAGAAAGAAACCTCTGATGTAGGTTCAAGGCGATTAAGGGAGAGATAGATGTGAGCTGATTCAGTCACAGCAACAAGAAGATTTTGAGAAACCACTCGAAACGAGTTTGGAAAAGAATGAGTTAAATAGTGAACAATCACAAGAAAAACATGGCTGCTCAGCTCTGCTTGCTCCCCAAACCGCCACCTTTAGTGATCATCCTAGTGAAAATACAGGGTTTGAAATTTCATATTCTTGTTTAAGAAATGGTTGTAACAAGTGTAAAACTATGTCTGTGAATGCTGAAACACAGGAACCTGTTGCCATTGTTGGATTGAGCAGTTTCGATGATTCATCGTTTTTCACTGATAAAATTCCAGAAATAAATTCAGATAACAAGTATATACTGGATGAGAGTTCATAACTTTGGAGTGTACCTCAGATCTGATGGTAAATTTTAGATACGCTATTGGAAAATTGAGTCAGACGAAAGTGTGTGGTAAAGAATATTCACAAAGTGGCAATGTACTTTTCGCCACATAATTCAGAAAGAAATAGAAGGGCAGCTGACCCTAGTAAGAGTTGATGATAGTAACGTAGAAAACTAAGTTTTAGAAACAGTGCATACCGAATGTTTCCTAATGTTGAAGACCGCAACGTCTAAGATTTTACCCTTCCCAGTGAAATTAATCCTAAGAATTTAGGTAAACTAACTGAATTAGGTGATTATTTTGAAGAATCCCATACAATTGAATGATTTGTTTTGTACGTGTATGAAGATAAGTTGGTTAAGAGTCCACAAATAGAAATCACGTTTAATGATAATTGTAAATCTGTAGCTATTCTTGACACAGGGAGTGAAGTAAATTTGTTGTCCGAAAGGCTTTACATAAATATGATAAAGTTAGGTATCGACGCTTGTACCTTACCTCTTGAAGGCGTAGTTTTTGATAACAGCCTTTGGGAAACGTTCTAACAAAGAAAACAGACCATGATCTGGTTCAGTATAGGTGAAGGTAAAATTGAAGGGGTATTCATGATTTCTCCACAGCTTAGAGATGATGTTATTCTAGGATGTCAGTTCCTAGAAGAATATACAGTCAGCATCAGGGCTTGAGGTGGGGCGGGATGCGGCGGATGGCATCCCGGTTCTTTCCTAAATGGCTTAAAAGCATCCCGTTACTTCTTTGGCAGTTAATGCAATGTACAGTACCTTAATACCTTAAAACGGGAAAACCATCCCGTTTCTATTTTCATTCCACCTCAAGCACTGGTCAGCATAGATCCCAAAAGAGGAAGTTTAACGTATGCAATAGAAGGTTGCGTTAAAGCACAAGTGTTTCGTCAGTCAGCTGAGTTTCGAGAAG